TTTTATGCAACATCAACAGGAGAAAACTTTATAACTCATGTATAAGCTCGAAGAATGAAAAAAGAAACAATAAGAAACTACCCTAAATGAAGCTCTCACGCTTTTTGCTCATTTCTATCCTGAATCAAGAAAGAAAATAGAAAACAAAAGCCATTAAGTTGAGTTCACCTTTCCTTGTGTCAAACCAAGCTTTAGTACCTGAGACAATTGCAGGTGAAAGAAGAGGAGCACGAAGTGTAGTCGAATCGTTCTAAAAGCAAGCACCCGGAGCGGTAAAAGTACTAGCGTTGGGGCGCGCTCTGTCGCGTACTGAAGCGCGGCGATCGCCGGTGCTGTCCCGAAGTATGAATGCTGCCTAACAGTTTGCTAGCAGAGTTGCACTTCCTCGATTGTGGGCTTTCTTCGAGCGATTGTGCTAGTTGTACTGCTGTCTGACTTATTTGTGTGAATTCAGTAGTTCATAGTAGTAGCTTTACGTGCAACTACGCAATGTCTTGAATAAAATACCACCGCTGATGCTGGTGAATTCCTGTTAGACCTTATGGGAGAGTGCCATTAAAGGCATGAGGCACGATGACCTGGACCTTGTTCCAAGATAGTAGCAGGGATGCTTTACGGTGGGCAAATGACGAAAAAGCGAAGATGAACTGTTAAAAAACAGCAAAAAAGCTTTGTTCCGTACAACTGTTCAGAAAGCATTTCTGATCGAGTTTCCTTTTGGCACGTGCCAACAACTGCATCAGTAGATTCGGCTACAGAAATGATTCATGCATCCACGCAGCAACACTTCATATCAATTGTTTTTCACGACTAAAGCGACAAGAGCACCAGCGTCGATGTGACTGTGTGACTGTGCGGCCGTTTGTGGGCAAGCGGTTGCAGAGGCGTCGGCGTTTAGCATCTGGTTTAGCGCTATCACGGCACCCTTGGTAGGAAAAGGCGCTGTACAGCGCGTGCTAGGAGGCACAGTATTCCTTGGTGCTAGTCGTATCGACATTGTACGCCTTGTGAATTTATCCTGCCACTCGCCTTTGAAGACAGTACGGTACAGTCACCTCAGAGACTATATTTGCCGTATGGCGTATGGGACCTGGCTGCAGTAGCGTGCCTCTTTCTCTGATCAGTCATGCACGGGGACGGAGCTGTAGGGTGGTGATACCCGAAAAGTCTTTCTTATTCCGTCTGCGCTATCGTCAAGGCGCAGCGCTTGCGTCGATGCAAAGGTTCCGAGGCGAAACACGCATTCAGTGGTAGAGAACAAGCAGAAGCATGAGGGCCAGACAAGAGGCTTGGTTACAGCTAGGCGGCTGACTGGCAGTACAGCAGCTCGGGCGGAGTGTGGAGACGGCACACTACCCTCGATCCTCCTTCCCGCGCACTTCTGAGCACTACCCTCGAGCGGAGAAAGTAGCGCGCTGCTGCAACTGCAGACCCATTTTCCCCACAAACGTCAAGGACCAGGATTTACTAAGGTGAGTGTACAGTCTGTGTTCAAAGGGAGCGGGCATGAGGCTGGAGACAGGCGACTACTACCAGCATCACTGGTGAAAGGGTTAGAGTGTGGCCAAACGCTATCTTACAACCGTTCCACCAATGACGTTGGCAGTAACTGCCCGCTCCCAGCCATCGTGCCAGCTACTTTCGAATCCACCTGCAAATTCATAGTTGGATCTGGCCATCCGCGATTTCCAGTTGCTGAATGCATCTTGAAAGAATTAAACTGGTGCAAAAAGATGTATTATCCTCTAGAGTAGTCATCTATTTTGAATTGATTTTTATATCGAATTAACAAGGTGATACGTAAAAGAGGTAATTCGTTATACAACGAACTTCAAACATGACAGTGAAAAGCAGTTTTTTTAGAGAAGTATTCGAGTGGGAATTTAATGGAAAATTACTTCCTTTAATTTTTATATACAACAACAAATGACTAGGCGTATTTTCATAACAATATAACAGATGTCAAGGATAGCTGTAATGGGTCAGTTGTAGACAATACTGGATTTTCTCTTCTTCACATAGCTGACTCGTTTCGATGGTTCAATCATAGCTGCGTCACGACCGAAGAAACTGATCAGTTGAGGGTGTAGCCTGGAAGAGTAACATTCATAATCACGGGGTATCACTGAGTAGAGAGGAAAGTAAAAAGATACCTGAAATGCAACGCTGTCCCTTTGGGTTGCTCAAGTATTTCACCGTCTAGATTCCAAGTACCAGGGTCTTCCTGGTCTGCATCTGGTTCGTACGACCATCTTATCACTCGGAAGCAATTCAACGTCCTGTCCAGTTGGTAGAGCTGAACCAGGCAAGCATATCCATCATTTTCACTTCAAATTCACCACTTTCCAAACAGAATTCACCATTTTTTAAACCAATTAATTCGTCATATTCTGAACCAAAGCCCCATATTTCTATCCAAATTCTCCATACTTTATGCCGAACAATTACCAGATCGCGCTTGTACCACTGCGAGTCTCCCCCCCCCTGACAGCCACGCCTACTTTTCGGCGTGGTCGAGATTTTACAAATTTTATTCCATAATGTCCAGTTCTGTGACGCTTTCGACTTTTGTTGTTTCGCGCATACACAGCTATTGAGAAGTGCTGGGGTGACTCCGCCCATTTTTGAAGAGATTCGCTGCAAATTCAGATGTCCACTCTTCACACAACGGAGGTACACACCGGCGTGCCCTGACACACTCCGTCCGCCCACTTCTGCGTTCTTTTTTGGGGGTTTCGAACCAAAATTTTCACATTTCCGGACTGTTACGTGCAGTCCCTGTCGCAATGAGAAGCTTCGCCCATTTCATAAAGACCCCGCCATTTTGTAGGAGCCATAACCGCATTCACGAAACGCTTAAAATTAGCATTTCGACCACCTAGTAGGTCAGGGTCTCGCTCGTCACTCAGAACAAAAAAAAACAGGCAAAGTTTGTTCCGGTTTACGAGCGAGACTACGGTCCATAAGTCGAGAATGTGGCATTTTACGAGAGTGCGCAGAGCTTTTCTCCCTCTTGGTTTGAGAAGTGGTGCTTTCGTTACGAAAAGTGGTGACTCTGATTCGAAAAGTGATGAATTCGGATTGTAAAGAGATGAAAAGTGAAAACAACAAAGGGAAAACAATAAAGTGAAAATAAATACATAGTTTGTCCTAAAACAAGATTAAAGGGAGGATGAACAAGGGAACTCACTCCTTTTCCTCCGTACATTGCAACCTTTCGCATGAACTGTATGTTATGGCACCTGGAAATCCTTGGAACCAGAGCCAAATCCAGGGTGCCATCTCCTATTCCTAAACAAGAAAATCGTTGATTTGGCCCATGAAGTCTCCCTGAAGGATCGTACCTGTGAATGGCGCCAAGCCGTAGGGTGTAAATGGCGTTACTGTGGGAATCACGCAACAGATGACGTGTGTGAATTCAGCATGCCAGTGATAGTCATAGTGAGGAGATGAGGTTGACGTGGGCGATGAATCGCTGAAGTTCAGAGCCATTTGAAAGGTGGAAAATGCCGTCTCATAAACAATCGTACCTGTTCGTAGCATCGCAGGTAGAGCACGGTTTAATGCAAGGCGGGTAGCACTGCTTTGGGATCTTCAGTTTCTTTTCGTGACAGCGAGAATGACACTTTTCCTCGATAGATTGGATGACGAATTGTGGTTCGCAGAGCTGGAAAAGCTCATTGAGGGGTAGCCCGGCAAATGGATGACTCGTAGTGACTCACCGCTCCATTGGTACCGTATAGGACCTAGACATCGGTAACGCTCAGAGTCTTTAAGCACATCGCCCAGCCAACCGTACGAGATTGCATTGGCCGAGATTCGTATCAAGTGGTCGTTCTGGTGTACCGTACACACGTCCACATTACACTCCGAACCTATCAAACATTGTACTATATTTTGAAGTTGTCATATTATGACAGTTGCTGTTCAACGCGCAGTTCGCGCACCGAAAGTTATCACAGGAGTGCTGAATTATAACAGATGTCTGAGCCCGCACCTCACACTTTCTGGCGAATGCGCTATCCATTACGTCACGAGGGCCGTATCGGCAGTGAACCGCGAGACTTAGGGCTTTACATGTCACGTATAAGTGCCGTAAGGCTACTATAAAAAGCCGTCAAGCTGAGATGTTAACAGAGACCCTGGCGGCGTAACGGAGAGCGCACTCGCCCAAAAAGCGCTAGGTGCGGGTTCGAGCCCCGCCTGAGGCAAGGGCCTTTGCCAAAAAATCAGCATTCTAGTGGTAATTGCTTAAAGTTTAGGCATGTTTTTTTATTCAACGTTATAAATGAGCAACAAACAAATGATCGAATCATCATCAAACGTGTGAGAACTATAAGCCATTGAGCAAATGAAAAAGGGGTAAAAAGGCAATCCTGGTGGCGTAAACAGCACTGTACCACTGTAGACCACCCTGTTGAGCCCGAACCCGGTAAATGAGGGGGTTTAGGCCAGGTGAAATACTTAGATATTCCAGTCTTCTTCAGGTACTCACGCCCTTGCATTTCAAGTACATGGGCGAGAGTTTTCCGACGCCCTTACGATTCCGTGTGGGGGCACCCGATTCTGAAGCAGTACGAGGTTTCCAAGAAGGTAGACGATGACATGAAGGCAGGATATTCCCCTCGAGTTGGTCGATGTAACCGTCAGCGTTCACTTTCAGTCCGGGGTCCACGAAGAAAATATCGGTCTTCCATTCCAGGAACTTCCGGTCCATACCATCAAGCGCCTTGGCGACTGCGGTGAAGATGATATCCTGGACCGTAGCGACGTTGTCGGAGCTGCTCGATGTTGGAGGTCTTCCAGATCAAGAGTGCTGGTCCCCAGGTAGCTGTCCATGGGTGACTCCATACAAGAAGTTTCGCAGCTGTTTGGAGGTGACGTGAATTCCAAAGGCCTTCTCCAGTCAGGCTGCGACTGGAGATGACTTCATATTTTGGTGTACATGAAGGTGATGGGCGAGGGCCAGCTCCTGCTTATCGAGGAACATCTTGGGTATCTTCCGCCCTGGTACTCGTATCCACGTCTTCTGTCTGGGCTGCGAAAACTTTACTGATATGTGACTCGGCCGAAGTGTCTTTTTTGCTTTTTTTGCCCCCTCCCCGCTCACTGTATGCCCAAAGCGCTTGCGATACAATAAAATACAGTATCCATAAAAAGGTATGGAGAAATCTGAGTTAAGCCTAAACTGGCACCGAGTGGGCTATAATTTCAACATCATATATCCTACAGAATGCTATGGAATGATTATAATACAGGTAGGTGGAGTTGAGGCAAATTCTACCACGCAGTTTGGTCTACACGCGCGCGGTTCAGGGGTTTAGTCAACTTCCGCCCAGGCCAACCAGGCCTTCTATCCTACGGGGACGGTAAACTGGTACCAGATTCATGTGAGATGAGAAAAGCACCGATTTGTGCATTGGGTGTCCTCTGCAAGCCATTGTATATTCCACATAGCCCTCAGTAAGAAACTACGATTCTGGGTGGATGTAGAAGTCCCTCCCAAAATGATTGATCATCGGCGAAAACTTTGTCCTTTTATGATATAGAATTGATTTGAAAGTATGCCTCACCGATGGCGATGTGCACTGCTGCAGTCGCATAATCAGTCGTCTCATGTACAGTACTAACAATGGAATTCGCTGATCCAGCACCAATGATACCGAATCTGATATGAGGAGTCTGCAGATGCTCCGTATCCGGATCATCGATATTTGTTCCTGGAGATAATATGAAAATAATACCTTGGATAAATCGCGCGAATAAAATTATGTTACCCGCATCTTTTTGAGTACGTAAGAGAGCACCAGAGAGTAACTCGTTGAAGAGACCGTCGCCTCCGACAGAGACCTAAATCACTTATATGCCAGACCTTAAAATATTATCGGGTGACATTCGAGATTACGGTACAACACAGCTGTACACAAACTGATCTGCGTTGAGAAGGTTTGACCCAGGAATAAACCCTCTAGTTGTTGGTATCAAAAAGTGAAGGAGTGCTAAACGCTACACATTGAACTTAACTTACCCGCATAAAACTTTCAGCATCTGGGACCCGGAAGGTACCCTCATCTTATTGGCTGTAATTCGCAAAACTTAAAGATTGACCCGTGAGTGTGAACAGGCGCTATTTTTCTTCCCTTTACAAAATCGTTCCGAAAGTTGGGCTTCTGATCACAGCATTTGGTCTGCTTTGCATGCGAAATGACATCACTTAGTGTACGCGATCTCTCCATAATCTGATGAAGTATTGAAATTCAAAAAGATTACGGCACCAGCCTGTACAACTTCATGCGATACCAGGTAATGTTCCATTCAAAGTTGCTATCTTTCCAAAAGTGCGGACTAGCTTAGGGTTTGCTGACATGACAGGATCGCCAAAATCAGAGGAACGGATCGACAAGGTGGGAGGGAGGGGGGGGGGAGTCGGCCGCTGTAGATATCTTCGCGTCAAATACATTCATCTGGGTCGGAACAGCATTCGGAAACATGCCTGTGGAACTTCTTAGTCCTCATTGTGACGATTCTAGGGCTCTTTTGGCGGTCAGCCGATAGTTCATAGAAATGAAAAGACAGAAGAGCCCAGAAAAAAAATTACCAAGCCGTCTATGGACTGCCAGCGATCAGCTGGCATCTCAATAATGTAGTCTCTGGCATGGTTAGCTCTTTTGGTCAGAATCACTTCAAAAGCGAGGCCTGGTGTGATTTTGAAGAATGGCTCCACCTAAAAATAGAGAATTGATTGAACATCCCCACTCAAGATGGAAACAAGCAAACGAACATTCTTCTGAAAAATCGCTTGAGCTTTGCCTTTGCCTCCGAACGGATTGATGAAAACGATGATATTCTTCGGGCGATTTCGCACACCTACAACTTTTCATTGACATAATGGCTGTTGTACAGATTGATCAAGCAGCCTACCCAAAAGAGTTGTTGTTACAATTTGCTGCCAATAGTCTCGTTCTGCTTTATTGCTGAACACCACCGGAATTTGCTTGAGACGCCAACGATATTTGTCCTTTTTGTAAACGAAGTAGAAGTAGAGAGTGCGAAGAGTAGTTTCGGTCTGAAATCACAGTACAGATTGATCAAAAATCCAAAGGTGATAAGCATATAATGGCAAGTTTTCTGAAAAATCACACTGGCAACGACTAAACAGTCCCGAAGGGAAAACAGGGACAAGAGGACAGGAGCTGAACTGACTACAGCTCACAACCCTACGACATGCATCACATTCCTCGCGAAAACTGATGAGAGTAAAAAGGTTCACCTAATCTGGAAGGTTTCGGGAGCTGGGCAAATATTTAAAAAGATCAAGTCGTTCTCTTATGGGAAAGCAGAAGTCTGGCCAAAATGAGGATTACCGGCTTTACAGACACCAGCCCTTCACAAACGTGAGAGATCTCATTCGCAGTACTGTTTAGAGAGAAGCGGCACGATGAATCCTCAAGATACGTAAGATTAATACGCCCTGCGGGACAGATCAAGCCCTAAGCAGGCGCTGCGTGCCGCCTTTTTCGAGGAAAGCATGTCTATAAGGCCCTGTGAAGCACATCGACCCGGCGCGCCCACCATCCCACAAATGTCCTGCTGATACTCGTATCGCTTCATTTGCGCAGTACATTAGTTAAGGCAGCGTTCAGACTTCGCAACGGCAGTGCTTCGGTCGCGCGTTCGACGCGATCGATGCAGTCGAAAGCATGCACATCAATCGGCCGAACGCG